ATAAATAAATAAATAAATAAATAAAATCTTTAAAAAAATGAAGACAGGGAACCTAGGAGTCTCCCATAATGATTTTACCTATGATAGGTGCTCAGTAAATATTTTTTAGTTGCTGGATTTGATTCGGTGCCCTCTGTCTTCCTCCCTTTCCCCCTCTCTTTCCTGTCTTAAATTAAAAAAAAAAACAACTTTCTATTTAGAAATAATCTTACATTTACAGAAGAGTTGCAAAGGTAGTACAGAATTCCTATATACCCTTTATGTAGTTTCCCCTAATATTAGCATCTCACATAACCATGGTACAATTATGAAAACTAAGAAATTAACATTGGTACAATACTATTAAGTAAACTATAGACTTTATTCAGATTTCATCATTATTTCCACTAATGTCTTTTAGAAAAAGAATGCTGAAGCAGAGTTTCTAGCATCCAGTCCAGAATATCACATTGTATTTAGTCACCTTTTTTTTTAAGCTGCCAAAGAGTACCAGTAGATGCCTGCACTGGTTAGAGTGGCCTCTCTTGAGTAATATGGTAATCTAGGCTGTCTAGAATGAGGGAGGCTGGACTCTCTGTTAGCTGGGCAAAATAAGATGTCCAAAGACCTTTGCCTTCTTTATGAGCTGACTGGAAGTTGAGAGCTGGACTCTTCTACTCTAGAGCTGTAGCATTCAATCACTTTTATAGTGATTCCTAAAACAGCCACAAAGAAATTTGTATTATAGTGACTGTCCTATCTTCTCGGGGGGAATGCCGCCATTTGACACACAGAATCATTCTTGAGACAACAGGACATTGTTTGGCTCTTTTTTCCTCTGTTCTTGGGTTGGGTACATAATGGTTTGAGGAATAGTTTGGTATCCTGACTGCACTGAATATAGATGTGCAAAGAAAGATTAGATTTTTGCTATCACTAGTCACATTAGGGTGACATTACCTTTGCTGGGATATTTAAAAGCTTGTCAGCATTAATTTATCTGATATATAACTTGGCTGTAAAAAATTCCTTCTTTCCTTGGCAGTCAGCATATACAGTTTCATCTAAGAAGATATAAGCTGATCATTTGTTTTCTTAGAAATGTAGTCTCTAAATGATGGGAACATTAACCTGTTATTGACTTTAGAAAGAGGAGGAGAAAAAGGAGGAGGAGAAGAAGGCATACCTGCTATTAGAGTGGGATTGATCCAATACATGGTCACATTATCACAAATTTCCAGAATTTTGGAATTTTTCAGAAAGTCTCGGTTTTCAATAGGCTTTTCTGCTGGGACCCAAATCACGGACTGTTCAAAAAAAGTTGTGGTAATTTCTTCATTCTGAGAGAAGTAAGTTCGAGGTAGGGATAGGAGGAGAAATTAATAAAATGAGTGAGACATTATGGGATACTGGAAAACACTCTATTTTGAGTCTGAATAACAATTCCAATCCCAGGGCTGCCAGTGAACTAGCTCTGTCATGTGCATACAGTAGGTGCCCTTGGGAGAGTTAACAACTGATCCCTCTCTGGGGGTCTAACAGTAAGGCTGCTTACCGCAACAGGAGTTTTCTCTGCTACCATTTCACTCACAGCTAGGAAGGCTATCCATCATTTTCTGGGCCTCCCACTGGGCCATGTATGTTTTAATTGGGCTTCTGGAATCCTGAGTGATTTACATTTGTTTTTGCCCTTTTAAATGGATGTTGTGAGTGCCAGCATGTTTTAGGCTTGCAACTAAGATTACAAACAGGATTTGATCTCAAGCTGAAAAAACTCTTATAGTCCAAGCTGGTGAGATCAATTACATAACAACCGAACCTAATATTTGGGTTTTACAAGATTTGTCTGTTAATGGTGGCTAGTTGTAGTACAAAAGATGTCTTTTTTGTCTTAAAGTCAAGTCTCCAGCTTGTGACTTCACTGGCCTTACCACTATTTTACTTCTTTCACTCTAGATATATACAGTTTGTCTTACAGAGTTTTTTTTCTTATATTATCAAGAACACTGCCTTCTCTTTGGTTTCTTGTACCGGAAGTAGTTACCTTGTATACCTACTTCTTACTCACTTGTTTTTTAGGCCTTGACATTTCCCCTACTCTTAATAAGGCTTTTACTTGTCTCTTTGGTTGCTTTCTAGCTTTATGATTTCAGTGTTTTTATTTGTTCTCTGAAATATGGCTTTGTATAATTTTTCCCCTAGTCATTTAAAACTCAAAAGTCTTAGCTCCCTTGCCCTTGAGTCTGTAAAGACCTTGGGATGCATTGAAAGGGACTGTAGAAAAAAGGAGGTTGGTATGCTGACTAGCTTTGTTAGCAAAATCAAGGCTATTTATATAACTACTCTGCATGTTTAGCATGCACAAACCATAGATACAGTGGTGAAAACTATAGAATAAGAGGGGTTTTGTCATCCAGAACCACAAACTTATTTCATAAAAAAGTCTGTAGCCTGAATGAATATATATATATACACACATATATGGATTTTCTGAAGGTAAAGTAATCTCACTATCACGAGATAAATACTTATGTTATTTAAAAGATATGGCAAAATTGAGGAATAAATTGGGGCCAAAATGAGACATTATGAGCCTTTGCCTTTATCTTTTCAGAAAAATTAATCTTGTTGTTTTAGTTTAGGGCTTTAATTGCTGGCTGGCCCTACTCAAATGTTTACATTATTTTCTGTAAAAAGCAGCATATAGTACCTTTTTATCCTATTGATTTTCCTTTCATCTTACCCTTGCCTCCTGCAGCAATTTCTAATATCCTGGAAGTTCTGTTCCTCAGATGCATTGAATTTATGCTTATTTTTAAAAAAATCTCCAAAATTTTTCACTACCATAGGCCTTGAGAGCAGAGCATCATCTTTGGGAAAGCTTCTTCTTTTTCTTGGAAATTCTAGTAACTAAGGCCTGTAATTTTTCTGGCCATAAGGAGACCAGTGGCATGTCTGGGAGAACCAATGATAGCTCTGAGACTTGGGTAAAGGAAAGGATAAAGTGCTCCCTATCCCACCTCACCCTCCCTCGCCCCCACAATAAGAAAACCAAAAGCAAAAGATAAATGGGTAGGCGAGAATTAAAATGGAAAGAGCTATGTAGGAAGATAGTGAAAAAGAATGGGGGAGAGAGAGAAGAAAGAGGTCTTTACAGTATATAGAGAGACCACTGTGCCATTGCCATAATTTCATTTTAGATTTGCCAGTTAAACACTAAAACAAAGCCAAACAAACCAAACAAACATTTGTTTCTTCTGGCTACAGGGGGAATGTGTTGCCACAAGATGGCCTTAGCTAAGGTTCGCCTTATTGCTTCACTGATAGCAACACACTTTAGTTACAGACAGAGTATCAGGGAAACATTAAGAACTTGAAGGGCTTTAGTGGTGGCTGTGTTTTAGGCCATAATCCTCCATCTCCCACTAGGCTTTCGGGGGCCATTTAGTGATTGCACCAGTATCTTAGGTTACCTTACCCTGGCCTGGCATTATGTTTTCAGAGAATTTGTATTACACTGTAGTTCTCACCTTCTTTGCTTTTGCCTTTCCAGGTGAGGTTAAATGCAGATTATTCCATTAGCAGCCCAGCATACAATGGTAAAGTGAATGAACTAAAATTTTTAAAATGAGTGAATGCCACAGTGTGATAAAGTGGCAAGGATCTCAGGTGGTCTTGGGACTTTTGTTTTTTAAGACTTTATCTTTAAGCAGGATTGTTTTTGTTCCTCCAACTTACCCCTCTTAACTAGAACTTTGGTTTGGAAGCAAATGTACATAATGTTAAAGTCTACCCACGTATAAAAGTACAGTTGTGCACCTAACAGCATGAACTTTAGTTTTTTGAAAGCCTGAGTTCAAGATCCCAATCTGCTCGTCACCGTGTGACCTTGGGCAAGTCACTTTTTGGTTCTGAACCAAGGTTCCACATGGGAAAATGGGGATAATGATAGCACCTACCTATAGGGTCATTGTGAGAATCAAATGAGAGTGAAGCATTTAGTACAATATCTGGCACATAGTTAACACCCAATAAATGATGGCTTTTCCTACCACTATTAATATTCTTACGTACCTCATCTATTTCCTCCTCTGGTTCAGAAAATTCAGGAATCACTTTAATCTGAGTTTTGATGAAGCATTTTTGAAGACCTACAAAGTAGATGCCAGTGTAACCCTATAAACAGACAAACAAAACAAAACAAAACAAAACTTCCTGAAATAGCCAAAGTTAATGAGTTCCCTGATCCGTTAAGGCCCCAGGATGGCAAAATCTGAATTCAAAGGAAAGCTTTGTCTTATAAATTAAGTGGAGCCTTAAGGCTATTTTTAACTTGACTAAAATGTTCTAATATTTTAAGTGGGAACCCTTGAGAGGGGGAGTATCCAACTTACATTTTTAAAGTCATGTACTTCTAATGTTTCATCAGTGCCATTTCCACTTCTGAATATTTCAGTTCTGGTCACAGGATCAATTTCCATGTAAATCTTCTTCTTCTCTCCATTGCTGTAGAAAGTGTGCTCCATGTCATATGTCTGGAATAACAGAGGAAAACAAGCTCTAAGATACTCGGTGTGTCCCTTCATAAGACACTTTAATTGCATAATATTTGGGGCACCTTCTCTTTCTGGAGCCTTTGTGGTGAGGTGCCATCTCAGCAGCTTACCATTGGGATTTCTCTGAGACTCAAGATTAAAGTGAGGTGCTTTTTGGCACTGGAGCTGATATGGGGATCCCTTCAGAGCCGGTATTTTGTATTCAACCTAAGTTGCTGAACTAATCACTAAAATTCCAACAGTTTTCTTGGCAGCCTGGACTAAATAGCAAATGATATTTTTGCAAACCAGCCTGTAAAGTATTTTCCCCTTATGTTAAACTGATGCTGCTTCTTTAAGTTACCACTTCCTTTCCAAGTGCTCACCCCCTCTCTCTCCCTGAAATTCACTGGGGCTGAGAAAGAGATTTGAACACATTTAGAATGCTTAGGTATTGCTCTTTATTTCCTTATCTATCCAGGGCTTTAATATTACCTCAATAGTCTTGGGTCTGTCTTTTTTAGAATCTGAAGACCATTCTCCTTGGCCAATATTAGGTAATAGTCTTACCCTGACCTCAACTGCATCCTTTTCCCTTTCAACTCCAGGAAACATTTATTGCCTTCCCCTGACCTTCTCTTTTATGGGCTAATCAAACCCACTCAGTTTATTCCTGCGTTCTGTTTTCCAAACCTAATTCAGTTGGCTTCAAGTTCTCCTGTATATAGAATTCAGCAACTGTGTCAAGTGCCCCGCACTAAGTAATATGGTATCTTCCAAGAACAGTGCCTTGGAAAGGCTTCTTATCAGGTCATTCTTGAGTGGTTGCAGCAAAACCCCAGACTCTCTCCGGCCCTCTAAAAGTGACAATTTTTTTCTTAGGACCAAGAGGACCAGTCCCATCAAGTGTCCCAGTATAGGAGTAAGCCCATTAGCTATAACTGATGACACATTTGTAGCTAGAAACAAACAACAAACCTAAAGTAATTCACTACCTATCATAAACCAAGCCAGACCTGATGGGCATGTGGAAATCTGTCTTATCCCTATTTTTAGGAGGCCATCTGCTATCATACTCATTTTTCCTTAGGAAAAAAACTGGGTAAACTAAAATCCCCCTAAAACAAGTCATCTATAGAGCCAACGTTGCTTTCTAATGATATGGTTCCCAGTGATAGCATTTTAGAGCTTGTACTGGGTTGGGTTGCTTTTTAATGTCTGCCAGTGTCTGTGACTAAATGTTAGTTTAACCTGGTCAAATTTTCCACAACTGAAGTAGAGAAATGAGTTGGAAAGGTTTGTAGAAACAATGTTATATCAAGTGTGAAAAGTCTATGTAACTGCTGAATAGGAAGAGACAATGTCATTTACCTCCTTGTCTCTACAGTGCCTTGGACAGGGCCATTGCTTAAGTATTGAGTGTACTCAATTAAGTATTAAGTATTCAACATAAGTTTTTCCTACCAATGACAAATTCTCATCTTCATAAAGAGACATTTTGAACATTGGCAATGTCTTTTAAGAAACTATACTTTAAAAGGGGAAGGAAAATGGTATTTACAACCTTCCAGCCACTGCGGTTAACGCAGGAAGTCTGGCCTGGTTTGTGACAGGTAGCAAACAAATTCCTTTAGGCTTGTTATTTGCTTCTAGTTATAAATATGTCCTCAATTCCAGCTCTGCAGCCAGCTTGAGAAACTTCTACCTATGGCAACAAATTGAACTCTCAGTCAGCCTGACCTAAGTAGAGGACAGAAGCATCTACTTCAGATCTGGTCTTGTCAGATCTCCCAAAAGGAGGGAATTTCTTCAGAAATACTATCCATTGTTGAGACAAATGTCGACACTACTAGTCATTGGGGGTGGGGTGAGGTGTTTGTTTCATCAGTAACACTACTGATGGATTATTGCATGGAAAAATGAGGTTAGAGACTAGGGGATGTTGGAATGCTGCCTACCTGGGCAAAAGAAAAATAGAGGCTGTATTTTCAATCATTAGTAGAAGACTATGGAACCATACTGGTGACATTTAGAATTTCAGTGTACTTCTGTGGAATGAGTTTTCCTGCACTGTTGGCAATGCACTTCATTTGGACACCTTGCTAGATGAAAACTATTGGAAACTGCCAAGCTCAGCAGATCTTGATTACTTTCAACATTACTTCAAAGAGGTTTTTTGGTTTTTTGTTTAGTTTAGTTTTGTTTTTTGTTTTGATGGAGGAGAAGGGGTCAATTCTGATTGTATCCACTAACCAGCTTCTTGGCTTTTTTTTTTTTAAAGCAGTGATAGATTGCTAAATGGAGTGAGATCAGAAAGACTTCATTTATATGTGAATCCTGGATAAGGGGTGGGGGTGGAAAGCTATATATTCACCCAGATGGAATTCTACTATCAAAGGTGTCCTTTTAGAACAGACTGTCCTTGTCTAGGAAGATGATGCCTGTGGCCCACTTTGGACTGTTTGGGGATGGGTTTGAGCAAATCCAGACATACTGTCTCGCCCAGGTCCCTGTGGAGCACATTGCCTGGGTAATGGCTATGCAAGTTCCACTGGCCCATATGAAGACTGAGCTCATGACTTTGGCCTCAGAAATACTTTTCTCTCTACTAAGCTCACTGGCTCAGGGGCTGAGGGTCTTTCTGGAGAGGAAGGAATAAATGGTTTTGTCCTTTCCAGGCACTAACTAAAGCAGAGAGAGGATGACTGGCCTGAGAGAGGTATGACTGGGCTCTCAGTAGCTCATCTCACACTGCCCCCCAACTCAGCTTTACTTCAAGAAGGACAGAACAAGGACAGAGTGTGATGAGGAGTACACGTCTGTCAAGTTGGCAAATGGGGAAAGTTAATCATTGGTGTTTCTAGGGAACCTAGTTCTTTTCATATCCTGTTCACTTTGTACCTTCTTAGTCCTTCCCCTTCTTCCCATCTCCCTCTATCCCTTTGTCTCCTGTCTAGACATCTTGGAATCTCATGGAGTGCCAGGTCCCTTATGTCAAAGAAGAAATCAATTTGACAAATGATTTCACACTAAGATGATCGGGATGGGTATTTGTCTCTTAAAAAATGAGTGCAATACTTAATTCTAAGGAATGAATTACTAATGATGGATTTTAAGAAGAATGACACCAGGAATAAGAGATATTTTGGAGGCAAGGGCATCCTTCCAGCACAACTCAAATAGGTTCCTATTCTACCCACATGTAGGGCTGCTCTTAATTATAAGGACCAGAACACTGGAGTGGGACAGGGAAGCCTATGGAGTGGAATATGACTCAGATGTGAAATGAAATAGATATGTGATTCAGTTCAGGCAGTGAGAGATGTAAGAAGAGCACACTGAGAAAACATGGAGCAAAAACAAACTCATTTCTCTTCCCTGCCCAGGAATTCTTTCCTCAATCCAGTTAAAGCCTCCACTCAGGTAGCAAATGAGCCCTAACATCCCCCTTTCACAATTTTCCCTGTTTCTTGCCTCAGTCTGTGGCAATCTCTGAGAGTAGAAAAGAAAGCTTTTTATAAAAAGTAATGTTGCCAGAGACCTCAGTGTGATGTATCTGTTCTGGGGGCAAGTATCTTTAGCCTTTCCTAAAAGGGATTTGAGGACATTTGGCTTAGGTTTGCCTCTTGAAGCCCGTGATTAATCTAGCTGCTCTTCTCTCCACCTTCATCCTTTACTGTCTGTTTATGAGGTACACTCTCCAAAGGTGAAATACATGCTCAGAATAGCTGGCTAGCAGGTGTTAGGCTGGAAGGAAGGGAAGAGAATGCATTGTACCATTTTATTACCAACCTAGCCTGTGGGAATTAAAGGGCCTCTGGGTATTTCTTTACCAACACAGAGCAGACAGATTGTTTCTTATGCAAAGTTGGACTTCTGTATCTTCAATCACCAGTTCTCAGCCCTGAAAAAAATTGGCATAAGCAGCACAGACATTCCTCTTTTTCAACAAGAAAAAAACCATTTCTTTCATCTATAGACTCAAGTTGGCTGGGAAGTTATCCCATGCCCACTGTTCCCACCACCCCTTATTCTTAAATGCAACGTAAGAACAGTAGAAAGAATCCTTAGACCATGTTCTAGTCCTAGCCTCAACTTTGCCACTTAAAAGCTGTGTGACCTTGGGCAAGTCACCAAGTTTCTCTGGAGTTTCAGTTCCCATCTTTATCTCCCATGCCTTGCCAGATGCAATGTTGAGTAGTTGACAAAATTAGTTCTGCTCAGATTTGGGCTAACACCTGTTAGGTTGATGATCGGACTGCTACTACCTGTTAATCACCTGGCTGCTTTCCTTATACAGCCCCAATGCCACTCTCAGTGGCTGAAAGACAGCTCCCTTTGAGGACCCAGGTTTCCCTTGCTGGTGCCATGTAAGTTGCTCAGCAAATGCTGCCTTAGGAGAATGAAGGGACTGAATAAGAATGTGCCCACAGTAGCCAGAGTCCTGGTACACATAATTGGGGCTGCCTCCTAATAGCTCAGAGCAAAAGTTGGCCCAGTGAGAGTTGCTGTTTGTGTGAGGATGAACTTTGCTCCTGCAATGGTTTGGGAGGAAAATGAAATGAAGAGAAGTCTTCTTTTTTAAAATGCTGATGTGGCACCATCTGGAGAAGCTCAGTCCCTCTGCTAAAGAGATTTCAGCTACAACTCCAACTTTTTCCTTGAGGGTATGAATGCTTCTCCAGACCCACATTTTATCCACCAAACTGCTGTGTAGGAAAGCCCAGGGAACTCAGGAAGGAGAGTTGTATCAATTGTGTGCTAAGAAGAGGAGTAGAAGAAGAAGAAAATGGGTCTCTGGCCAATGCTAGCATTAGAGAAACAGGCCCAGGAAAGCTGGATCCAGACTTAGCAAGGAAGTGTTTTTTCTAAGCAAAGGATTTCTAGCCTATGATGATAATTGGGCTTGCAAACCTGGGTGAGGCTGTCTTAATGATTATTTGTAGTTGAGGTTGGGGGGAGAGGGCAGAAGGATGCCCACCTATCCCTACCACTTCTCTTGTCATTCTGATAGTATGTAGGAGTTATGAAGACGCTCCCAGTAATCTGTTGATTGCTGTGTGGCCTTAGGACTTACGGTTTCTAAAGAGCCCTAAAGTCACCAGGCAGTTCCTAGATATGGCAGGAAGGGCAGAATTTCATTTATTTAAATTATCATCTTTCTGCCTCATTCTTCAAAGGGTTAGAGGGGATAGGTTATAAGGTCTGTGCTGCATCTATAAATTGTTGGTTTAAAGGCTGGGATTTTTATGACTTGTTTTCTCCATGTTGGATTAATTAGCTGGGGAGTTGGCTTCTAATTGTTTCAAGTTAAATGTGTAATGCAGGGAGGTTTAAAGAAGAATGTTCCTCTAGGGAATTGGCTTCAAATATCCCTGAGCAGTCACTGCGTGGAAGTGGAACCTCATTGTGATGTGCTCTCAAAATCTCTGGGACTGAATAGGTCCCTTCTGCTTAGTTGAGAAAGCTGAATACAGAATTTGATGGTCTGGCTTTCATTCAGCTCAAGTGGCTCCTATATGTGGTTGTGGGTTAGGGGTCTGTAGCCTATAAGGGAGTGCAGCAGCTACCCCAGAGTTAATCCCTTTTGTTTCACTTCATTTTGATGCCTTTCTGTTTCTGGAGTGTGTGTGTGTTTGTTTGTGTGTGTGTGTGTGTGTGTGTGTGTATGCATGCGTGCACGTGTGCTCAAGCCTGAGGTGAGGAAAGGTAATCAAACATGTCTTACTCCCACTTTGGGATCAGGAATCTGGATCTTTTGTATACACCAAGGTGGGAGGTAATAGAAGGAAAAGAACGACTTACTGGCATGGAAATGTCAACACCAGATGTAAGACGTTAAGTAAATACTGTTTACTTTAAACAGATGTCAAAAAAACGAAATAAAAAGGAGATATGATGGAGGCTAGAGGAGCAAACACTAAGAGCTTGGAGGAAGCCCCAGGAGAGCAACAAATCTCTCCATCCATAAGCACAACAGCATCAACAATTCTGTCCACCAAGGGCCCCGTGGTCCCCACAGGTCCCATAGGTTGTAAAGGAAAGTCCAGAAGAGCCTGGATTTTAATCTGCTGTTATTTCTTGCTAGGCCATACTCTTAAGGGGAGAGTCTTTAATTTGTGCAAGATGCCTGGATCCTTTTCTTTTGCAAATCTTTTCCCAAGACTAATCTGACTACTTTTCTCTTCCCAGGATTCATAAGTCAGCTCCAAGGCAGACTTATTGGCAATCTTAGCCATTGGAAACATAGATGGTCTCTTGGACTCTTTGTCTGGGAATTGAAGGTAGTGGTAGACTGAGGGAAGCATTCACATCTCCAGCTGGTTCTTTAGTTTTCGATGGACCCAGTCTGGTCTTGTGGTGAAGGCCAGGACTTAAATATCAAAGACTATAAATTGCAACTCCCCAGTTGGAATGGGGAACAAATAACCTTTGTTCATGATGGAAAAAGTTTACCTAGGAGACACCTATTGTCTTTTACCAGATTACTTTGCAATAATTTTGTTCATTTCTGAGAATCCCTTTGCTGAAAAGCACATCCCAAGATGGATTACTTCGTGAGTGATTTGATTCTTGATAAACTTTATTTGGTAGCGTACCCCACCTCTTCTGTGCATGCACTGAATAGGTTTTACTTTTGGTTTGAGGAATCACAGAATTGTTCCTTATAATGCATTAAAAAGGGAACTGACGTGAGAAGCAAAGATGATATAATACGGAAGCAGAGGGAACCATGGGCCCTGTTAGTGAGTTTGGCACCTTGCAAGATAAAAGCAAGGTCTTACTTAGTCATTTATAGTTGCACTGAGGCAAATAACATTGAAAGTTTAGAAAAACACATAAACTTCAAAATAGCATTTGCAGTACCAACAGCTACAATAAAACAAGAAAGGCCATCTGGCCCCATGTTTAGTCATGCTTGCACAGGTGGTCAAAAGGGCTAGCTACCTACCACACTCAGTTAAGTACATTATGACCATGGAGAACAAAAGGGGTTATTGTCCTCTAACTCACCTATAATTGTCTAAAGGATCCAATAATATTCAATTTGTGGGGCAGCACATTACCTAGGGAATTGGCTAAGTGGTAGCCCAATTGGATTGGAAGGCATTTTGGCACTTTTATTCATTTGCTGTTTCCTTCCTGATATCTATTTCTTTGTCCACCTTGATAGCCTGAATATAGGTGGATTCTCTAGAAAGAAATGTGAACAGAAAGTAGTTCAGAAGCAGGGCACAGTGCAAGAGATGAGAGAGAGAGAGAGAGAGAGAGAGAAGGAGGGAGAGAGAGGGGAGAGAGAGAGAGAATGAGAGAAATGGATAACTATAGGCATTGGGTGATGCCTGAAATCCTTTCTGGAACAAGGTGTAAATAAAAAGGTGAACCAACAAGATGGGCTGCTTTGCTTTTCATTCTCCTTCCTATTTAAACTTGATAAGATAGCCTCTGGGACTAAATGAAACTGGGTATGGCAATAGAGGTGAAGAATCCAAGGGTAACTATGCCTTATTTCTCTGTTTTCTTTTGGACACTTGTTCAGTTAATTTTCTATTTTCTCTCCTTTGCCTCTCCTTTTTCATCTATCCATATTCTTTCCTCTCTGCTCCTATCACTCCTTTGGCTCTCAGTAGTCCATGCTAACCCATTTTCTTCTTGTCTCTCATTCTCCCTCCTGGATATATGCCCTTCTCTTCCTACATCTGTTATGAAATAGAAATGAGCATCTCATGATAACAAATTAATAGCAAAAGTAACAACAACCCACATGCAGAGAGAAAAATGTGGCAAAGACAGAAAACCATCTACATACCTTGTAGCTTGTACATTTATTACTTATCTCTTAAATGGAAATTGTTAGCATCAAGGAACTATGATTTTCTTTGGGTCACATCTAAACTTGCTTATTGCATGTGAGTCTGGGAGTAATCATAACATTAAGGTACACTAATATCAACTACAGTGGCCACCTAGGTATACCAAATGATCTCGCTATCAGAAGCTTTCGGAGGTACCTGTGATTAATGACTTGTTTCTACCTTGTGGCATTACTATCTCAGTGGGTCAGTGACAATTGTGGCTGGTGAGGAGCCAAAAAGCTCTAGTTTTTTTTGTTTTTAAGTCATAAATACATGTGAAGTCAGGTATGAGAATTGCTTCTTCTGAAAAGGAGTTAGCTGCCTGTCCTCAGAGCAGATGCGTTAAGTCAGAAACATAATCCCTGAAAATCCTTTGCTGCCATTTCTGGTGATTTCTTCTTATGTGGTGGTATAATTACTTTCCATCAGCTTCTGCCCAGATAATTGAAAGAAAGATGAAAAGTATTTTTTTCTTACAGTAAAAATTTGCTTCTAGGAGGAGTCTTAACTTCTTAAAGCCGAGCATTATTAAAAAGTGCGTAATTCTACTCCTATTACTACTAACTGAAATACAGAAAACATATTTTTCCCTTACCAAAATAATTAGGCAAATAAAAGAAAGCAAAATCTTGATTCAGTTTTTCATACCACCAGAAAATATATGCAAAAGGGACTTAATGATTTTCATTTCAGAGTAATATACATGTCAAGCACTAATTAAATTCAATCAAACTCAAAACAGAAGCATTAGATATTAATGTGCATTTACTTACTTTTTTGGGTGTCTCCGACCAGAAGTGCTTGCCCCCCCAAAACAGGACAATTAGAGTTAGGGCCAGGATACCAAACACCAATCCACAAATCTTAAGTGATTTACATATCTTCTTGGATTTAAAAGCTTCTGCCTAAGCAAAGAACAGAGAGAATAAAACAATACACAATAGCTCTTAAAATAGCAAGCCATACTTCAAAGTCACCTTTGATTTCACTTTCTAATGTTCACATTGCGATACGATAAATCTGTGAAACCATGCTTCTGCTCAAAAGGGAAAAAATATGAATCAACTTACATTTAGAATGTGACAGTCCTCACAGTTCTCTGGAGGATTCTTTGCCATGCTCTCTCAGCACACAGTACTCTTTTCCTGCTTTGAGAGGACTGAGAGACCACTGCTGAGGTGGAGTTGCAAGTGAGTCAGCTAACAGATGCCAGAGGAGAAGCTGAATTTATATGGCTCAAATATGTCATACCAGAGCCTGAGGGAGCCCAGGGGGCTCCTGTGCTGTGATTTGTTACATAGATATACCCATATATGTATATAACTTCTGTGCACAGAATTCCATCCAGAATGGCAAAGACAGAAGGTTATAATGAAAACTATTGTCCTGGGGGTTGGCTTGGAAGGGGACCAAACCTAGGACACATTGAAATGATTTTTCACTATGAACTTAAAATATCAGTGGCAACACATGCTGCACACTCCAGAAATAAGCAAACAAAACAAAAAAGGAATGAAGTCCTGATTTCAATTCCACTTGTTTTAACAAATACTTATTGCGGGGATATTAAATGTCAGGCACTGTACTTGGTCTTGGAGATTCAGAAATGAATAAGGTACTGCCTCCTCCATTATGATAAAACTTTTTGAGGACTGAGATCAATATGTACTCAACTAATTACAATTAAAAACCAGATTAAAAGATTAATGATACATTTTTTCTCTCTCTCTTCATCCTATCTCTCTGATTATTTTCCTTCCCTGAATTCTCTTCCTCAGTCTGTTCTTTAATGTTAATATTCCTTATGGTTCTATCTTGATTATATTCTAACTCTATATACTCTTCTTAGATGATCTCACCCACTCCTATAGTTTAAAGTGTCAGCTGCATATCAATGATTTCTAAATCTGTATCTATAATCCCTTTCTATCTCCTGAATTTCAAAGCATTTGAATATCTCTACCTGGATGTACCTCAGAAACCTCAAACTCAACATGTCCCACATAAAACTTCTTCTTTTGAAACCTCCTTTTCCCAACCTACTCTCCTCCATATTCTTAATCTTGCTTGGTGGTTATATTAATTTTCTAGAGGTACCATAACAAAGTAGCACAGACTAGGTGGCATAAACAACAGAAATTTATATTCTCACAGCTCTAGAGGCTGGAAGTCCAAGATCAAGGTGTCAGCAGAGTTGCTTTATACTGAGACCTCTCTCCTTGCTTTGTAGATGGTCTTCTTCATGTTCACATGGCATTCTCTCTCTATGCATGTCCTAATTTCTTCTTATGAGGACAACAGTCTTATTGGACTAGGGCCCATGCATATGACCTTATTTTTACTTAATTACCTCTTTAAAAGCCCTATCTCCAAATACAGTTACATTCTAAGATAATGAGTATTAGGGCTTCAACATATGAGTTTAGTAGGGTGAAGGGCACAGTTCAGTCCATAACAGTGGAACCATCATCCAACCAGGCTCCAAAACCAGAAAACTGAGGTTTGTCCCTGACTCCCCTCTCTTTTTCATATTCCCTTGATCTAATCAGTCACCAAATTTTGTGGATTCTAAATTCTTACATCCTTCAAAGCCACTCTTTCCTCCCTATGTTTACCATTAAAGCTTAGTTTAGGTCTCTAAGAGGTCTCAAATCCAGGCTGTTCTCTTAGGGCTCTAGACCCATGTGTCTCTCTAACCTGTTGGATCTCTTCACTTGGATATTTCATAAGCACTTCTAATATCACACTTCTCAAACTGAATTAATTATCTTCCCTTCCAAACATACTTTTCTTTCTGTATTATCTCCCTCATTAAATGACACGATGATTAGTCTTTAGAATGGAAATCTCCATATGATCCTTAGTTTTTTCTTTCTTGTTCATCCCATGCCTAATCAATTATTAAATCCAGTCAATTTTGCCTCTGAATTATCTCTCCAATTCTGTTCTCTCCATTCTCAATTGCCACTGCCTTAGTTGCAACAACTTTTACTGTTGCATTAGAATTCTAACTGGTTTCTTTGCCTCCAATTCATTGCCTTCAAGGTGCTCTTTCTAAGACGCAAATCTGGGGATAATCTTTCCCCTGCTTAAAATCCTTTCATTTCTATTCATTGTCTATAAAATCAAAGCTACTTATGGTGACAACACAGACATTTAATGGTCTGGACTCTGCCTACGTCTCCAGCCTTGATTTTGGATAATTTCTTTCATAGAGATGGAGTAAACTGGGGTTCTCTACTGGGCAGGGCCATGAAGCATGTACATGTGACTTCATCCACATCCTAATGTCTCAAAGAAAAGTAATTTTGCAACTGTTGCAGGCATAATTATGTGTGAAACTGATTATGTAATTTATGAAATATAAGTCATGGTTTTATTTGTTTTACAATTCTTAACCAAGCTTAGAAAAAAAGAGAAAGTCATGAGAGTAGTCTCATGGAGAAACCTATGTTTACTATGCTAGATGATTTCCCCCTCCACAATGTTACACTATGCCTCCAATGTCTTCCTTATACTTTACCCTTTATTGATACTGAGCACCCTCTGCTTTTTCACACTATGGGGCATTTGCACATGCTATACTCTTTGCTTGGATTTCCCTTCCTTGTTCTTTCTTTGTATCTTACTCATACTTTAAATCTTGCACTTATACTGCATTATAGTTCACTTATAGGTGTTTTTCTCCCAAACAGATTTTGAGATCTTTAAAAACATGCCTTATTTGTTAAAAGTATTTAATTAAAATAGAGGTCAAAGCAATATGCCATGGAAGGATGGGGGCAATGATTAATTCTGATTCAGTAGAGCAGGGAAAATGGCACAAAACACATGGAATTGCAGTAAATTGTTCATTTATTAGCACTGTTTACTCAGTGCCCTATATGTGGTAGGCACTGTTATAGGGGCTGGGCATATATTTAGACAAGACAAACACAGTCCCTGACGTTATAAAGCTCTGAGTCTAGCTGGGGAGACAGATGTTAAACTAGAAGGAAAAAGATCCTGTAAATAAAGAAAAAAATATAAATTATGAAACATGCTAAGAAAGAAAAGTTCAGGGTGCTATGAAATCACCTAATTTGAATTGGAGGTGTCAGGGAAGTCCATGCTGAGATGTCTCTTAAGCTCAGACTTGAAAAATGAGAAGTTAGCTGATAAAGAGTGAGGAAAAGATTATCCCAGGCAGAAAGAACAGCACATGCAAATACCCTGAAGCAGAAGAGATCTTGTATTTGAAGAGTAAAAGGAAAATCAGTGTGGTTGTAAAACAGTGAAGGAGGAGGAAAGTTGTCTAAGACAAGGCTGAGGAGATAGACAAGGACCACACCATACAAGATTGTGTCTATTAGGACTGTTTTTAGCTGCATGTAAAAGAAAACAAGATATGGTGGCTTAACAAAATAAGAGGTTTATTTTTCTGACATGACAACCTCAGTATCAACAGTCCAGGGTTTGTGCAAGTTCTAGGACCCAAGCTTCCATATCTTTATTCTGTGATCCTTTGAGCATGATTTCCATTTTCATGCTTCCAAGATGACTGTTTCACACCCAGTCAGGAAAAAGGAGAGAATGCAAAAGGACAAAAGACATGTGACAGCTGAATCTGTCTCTTTCCATCAGGAAAATAGGAGTTTCCCTGGAAGCCCTATCTTGTAGATTTCTGCTTATCTTCTTGGCTAGAACTGGGTTGGATGGCCAATTCTAGCTATAGTGGAGTCTGAGGAGGTTTTCTTTTTCTTTTCTTTTTTTTTTTTTAAAGATTTTATTTATTTGACAGAGAGAGACACAGCGAGAGAGGGAACACAAGCAGGGAGAGTGGGAGTGGGAGAAGCAGGCTCTCCGCCGAGCAGGGAGCCCGATGCGGGGCTCGATCCCAGAACCCGGGGATCATGACCTGAGCCGAAGGCAGATGCTTAACGACTGAGCCACCCAGGCGCCCCATGGGGAGGTTTTATTTTCAACTCAGCCTATTACTACCCCTAACAAAATGCTGGTTTTGTTATAGAATGAGGCAACATATTGGGCAGGCAATTCAGTTTCTGCCACAAGGGCCATAGTAAGGGTTTGAAGTTTATTCCAAGAGCAATGGGGTGCATGTACCCCTTTGGATCCCTACATTTGTATCTTTGGGATAAATACCCAGTAGTGCAATTGCTGGATCGTATGGTAGCTCTATTTTCAACTTTTTGAGCAATGGGAATTCATTGAAGTGTTTTAAGCAAGGGAGCAATGTTTTATTAGCATCTCTCTGACTGCTATGAGAAGAATGAATTGTAAGGAAGCAAGAACTTGATTTTATTTTTTAATTTTTTAAAGATTTTACTTATTTATTTGAGAGAGAGAGAGTGAGTGAGCGAGAGAGAGAACACAAGTGGGGAGGGGCAGAGGGAGAGGGAGAAGCAGACTCCCCACTGAGCAGGGAGCCCAACGTGGGGATTGATCCCAGGATTCCAGGATCATGACCTGAGCCGAAGGCAGACTCTTTTTTTTTAAAATTATTTATTTATTTATTTAAGAGAGAGAGAGAGAGAGAGAAACAGCATGAGAGGGGATAGGGTCAGGGGGAGAAGCAGGCTCCCTGCTGAGCCGGGACCCCAATGTGGGACTCCATCCCAGGACTCTGGGATCATGACCTGAGCCGAAGGCAGTCGCTTAACCAACTGAGCCACCCAGGCGCCCCCGAAGGCAGACTCTTAACCGACTGAGCCACCCAGGGCCCCTGGAAGCAAGAATTTTAAAATGTTAATCAGTCAGGAGATGATATTAGTCTGGACTAAGGAAGTGATAATAATGATGGTAGACAGATTTGGGATATATTTTAGAGGTAGCACATGCATGGTGATAGATTGGACATACAGGGTGAGAAGAAAAAGGAGGAATAAAAAAATGATTCATGTATTTTTGGTTTGTGCATTTGGGTGGAGTGTGGTGCAACTCACAGGGGTCAGGAAACATGGAGGAGGACTAGTTTGGGATAATGAATATGGTTTTGGACATGTTGAATTTGAGGTGTGTATGAAGCATACAAAAGATGTCCAGTTGGCAGTTGGGCATATGTGTTTGGAGCTCCGATGACAGTCCCTGGAGTGGAAATATACAGGCATACTTCATTTTATTGTGCTTTGCTTTCCTGAGCACAGATAATGCATGTTTTACAAATTGAAGTTTTGTGGCAACCCTGCATTGATCAAGTTTGTTGGGGCCATTTTTTTCCAATAGCATTTGTTCACTTTGTGTCTCTGTGTCACATTTTGCTAATTCTCATAATATTTCAAACTTTTCAATATTATATTTCTTATGGTGATCTGTGATCAGTGATTATGACTCACTGAAAGC